TTATTTTTTATAAAAATTATATTGTACCACAAAGATCATATAAAAAATAATCTATGTATACTCTACCCTTAATAAAATTAATTGCATTATTGTATATATCATCAATATATAGCAAATGCATAATTTGTTGTGATAAATATATATATATTTTTTTAATGTTAAGGTGAATAATTGTGACTCAGAAGTTTATTGATAATCAGTTGGCATATAACTATTGTGTACAACAGCTACAAAGGCAATCATAAAAAGAGTGTACAACTAGCTACTTGTACAACTTTAGTTATTGTTTATTTTAAGTAGTCTGCCTGAAGGTTCTACACTAGTTGCTATATCTAGAACCTGCTTGTGGGTTTTCTATTTAAACACTCTAGTTCTTGTATTTACCCCTACCCTATTAACTGCAGCCATTGCTGCAAATATACCATGGTCACTAAGTTATATTTAACTTTATATTAAGCCCATCAGAGCCTTCTGTATTTTATACTTACAGCTGACTCAGTATCGCTCTGGTCTAGACCATCACTTGCAATCAGAGCTAACCATTAAACCACTATATCCTTGTAAAGTTCACAGAGACTCTAATACCTTCCTTTTTTAACTTCTACACCCCTACTTCTGGATCTACAAAATCTATAAGACTTCCCAAACTACCAATCCAGATGGCTCATCCGGTGAACCTGATAGCCTGGTTGGTATATGCTTCTCTACACATGTTGTCATCTGATCTATCCGAGGTTTTAGTAATCCTTTTTTGAAGGCTTCTGATGGTTCAGTAGTACTGTTGAAAGTCTATGCTACTTCTTTACTTAGGATTTCCAAGTAGGTTTCTGACTCTTCGGTTCCTTTGCTTTCTATGCCTGGTGGTCTTATTATAGGTTTGTACTGAAGTTTTATGCAACACCAGTTATTAACATTTCTCTATGTAGGTGTAATATTACACTTTGCATAAATGCCTTGAGCTTCCATTTGAGATAATGCAACAAAAATTACAAATACACAAATCCAACTGATCGACAGAGACCGTTACCATAACACAGACCTTATTTTTTAAAATTCGTTATCTATGGGATTTGAACTCTAAACCTGCCACTTGGAGGTTGACAACCTGACCACTTCACTAGATCACCACATCTCTGTTATGATAAATATTTTAAAAGATTATAGTTGAATTTTAATTAATAATAAAAACCAATCACTTAATTATTCTGATTTATTTTTATAGTTAGAACACAAAACTTATATGATTTTAGAAATTTTTCATTGCTTAAACAATAAAAATCTTTCAAAATCATATAAGTTTAAACACTCACCTATAGCAAATGCCTTTTGTTTAAGAGTAACAAAAAATAGTAATTATGCTTTAATATATATGCATGCAAATATAAATTTTATTGAAATGGTTAGTGATTTCATTTAAAAGATCATGATGCATGTATATATTATACTAGGTTCATTAATAAATATACCAAATTTAGAATATTTATATAATAAAGATTATAGCCTTTGTTATTATTAAGATGAGTGTTAAATTTAAAAAAGAAATTAAAACAAAAAATGCTATTATATATATTTTCTTTTTTGAATATTATAATTATTATTTGCTGCTTCTTGCATAATACTGCATAAAGCCAGACAATTATATGCATGATTTTAAATTTTAAATTTTATAGGTTCAGTATACAAAAATTAATAATTTAATTTGAAAAAGGAACTTCACAATTATAAGTAATATCATTTACAAGTTTCTTTTATTTTATCATTTTAGTAATGAATTCATTGCAATTAAAAACAAAAACTGTAATTGTAAAGTGTTTTAGACCAAGTTCAATATACTATAAATTCTTTTGTCTTTTATTTATATTCAATAAAAATAATTTTTTTATTTTATAAAAAAAAAAATATTTTAAATTGCTATAAAATCTAATATTCTCTTTTAGTTTTGAAGTATTAATAAAACTATATTTATTTTTATTTATCAAACAACTATTTTCTATTAACAATTAAGTAAATTTTACATTATTCTTATTTGCTAATATGTTTATCTATTTAAAAAAAATGTTAGCAAAAACTATTAAAAAAATCAAAGCTAAACATGTAAATAAATCAAACTTGAAAGTCAAATCAAATCAAAAAATAATAAAGCTTAGTCAAACAAACCATCATGTTGCTATTGAAGCAGCTTTTAAAGACCTTGCTAGCCTTATGAATTTTTGTGTAAATTCAACTGTCCTAAAATTTGGTATTTCAGAATCAATGTTGAGACATGTTATTAAAAATAATTTGCTTAAACATCTTGGTCCTAAGACAATCCTGAGCAAATATGAAGAAGAGCAACTTGTAGACTATTGTAAAAATATGCAGAAGTTAGAGTTTGGTTTGACAAAATCAGACATAAGCTATTGTGTAATAGAAATAGTATATAGAGATTATTATGTTTATCCTTTTGTAGCTAAAAGAACTGGCAAAGCTTAATGGAATTAGTTTATAAAGAATCATCTAGATTTATCTTTTCATATGCCTTAAACTTTATCAGAGGTATAAGCTCAAAGAGCAAATCTGATAATAATAAAAAATCATTTTGATAAATTACAAAAGATAATTAAGAAGCATTTATTCATTTCAGACTGTATTTGGAATATGGATGAAACAGAATTTGTCATTGCTTCAAAAATCTAAAAAGTTTTTGCAATAAAGATCAATATTAGAATAATATTGTTCTGGTAATAATTATTAATTAATTGTCTAAAGCATAGTAAGACTTATATGTACAAGTAAACCTTAAAAAAAATTTATCTGTCTAGCATGTATTTAAATTGTGATTGGCTGCTTTGCATAGACCTACTAGACATTTGATTAAAAAATATCTGTCTGTCTAACATGTAACGATGTTGTGATTGGTTGTTACAGTTCACACTAGATCCTTGATTTTAAAAATATCTATATGTTTGCAATATGACTTCATTGTAATTAGTTGTTATGATTCATATGCCCATCTGTTCACTATATAATATTATTCTTATTGGCTGATTAATAATTTTTTTATAATTAACTAATTATTATAATAAATTAGACTTCAGACTCACAATAGTTTCTGTTAACCTAATTAGCAATATATTATTATACAGTTATCTCTTCATATAGTCACTTTAAATTATAAAAAATAGCTAAAAATAAGTTTCATGCATATTAATGCATATAATTTCATTTTATATACATTAATTCTATTTTATATGCATTTTATTTCATCAAGACTTCTTTTCTCTCAATCTGCTTTTTTTTGCCTTTTTTTTATCATGTAATATTATGTGCATATTATTATAAAATGCATATTTTTTTTATTACTAAAAATAGTTTTTTATATAAGCACAACTTCTTTATAGATGCAATTTTAAAAAAATTACTATGTGCCCAACTGTATAACTATATGAATAAACAACTAGAGGCCTGCATTGGGTTTTGCAGCCTGGCCCAGTCTGGCTTGCAAATTTTTATGGGCTGGGCTAAGCCTGAAGCAAAATTTTATAATTGCAAGCTGGGCCAGGCTGAAAAATTTGCAAAACTTTATAATTGTGAGCCAGTGTAGGCCTAAAATTTTGTAAAATTATATAAAAAATTTTTGCAAGCTGGGCTGGGCTAAAAAAAAAATTTAACATATGCAGGCTGGGCTGAGCTGGCAAAAAAATGATAACACTAAATGTGGGCCAGACTGGGCCTAAAAAAAATTTTTAACCTTACTGTAGACTGGGCTGGGTCTTAAAAATAGACAATTTGCAGGCCCCTATAAACAACTATATATAAATTAAATAAATTAATTATAAATTAGTAATTGTTAATAATTGTTTTGTAATTAATTAAATTTTGCATTACTAATAATCATAAACCTTTAACTCTATAAAAGGTGCTTAGCAAATTCACAAAGTATCATATAGAAATGCACATAACTATATTTTCTTTATTCTGATAATTTCAGCTGCTAATATCTTTATTTCTTTACTATTTATTTATAAAGACATTTATGCAATCTCAGGTTTATTAACTAGTGTCCCAATTGGCTTTGTTATAAGCTTTACCAATTCTAAATACATGCAGAAGAAACTTTTCCAAATGTATATAAAATATTTCATTAAATTAATTCCTTCTTTTTGTTCAGTTTTGCTTATACTCAATAGGCATAAAAGTTATATAAATTATACAAATATAAAATACTGTAATGAAAATAGAATTTTGTTATATGCACTGCCATTACATATAACTATATTTTTCAATTTTCTGAAATCCTATTCATTAAACTCTAAAAGAAATATAGTAAGAGTTGTAACTAGCTTTATTATAATAAAGGCAAAGTAGTAACTAAGCATATATTTACCAGAATTCTTGAGCTAGCATTTATAGCAACTTATACTCTAAAGGCAATTATTAATGCTTTTAGGATTACAAGAATTTGGTTATTTAATCCTGATACTATTAGTTCTAAATGTCTTAACTTTTTACTAACAACAAAGTAAGCTTATCTCTTATTTTTATTTTAATTTTTTTAACAAAATAGCAAAAAACTATTAGCTTTAGAAATATCCTCTTCAATAACTCATAAATATTTTACTCAAAATAGAATAAAATTATTAAAAATAGATTTTGAGTCTCTTGAAAAGAAGATCAAAATACTAAAAAATAAAAATAAATTATTAAAGCATAAATATGAATTAATAAATGAAAAGCTAAAGACTTTTAAAAATCCTGATACTTGCCTATTAAAAATGATACTTAAGTATCTTGCTTCTTATCTTTTATCACAACTAAATAAACCAGAATTTACTGATATCAAACCTTATTCACAATCTACAAAAAAAAAAAATATTACCTTTTGCAGGCTTTTACTAACAATGCCTCTTTGTGGGAATTGAAAAAAGCAGAAAAACTAGCCAAAATAAAAGCTAAAAATGTGGGAAAAAAAAGAAGCAGCAGCACAAAAACAGGCAAAAAGAAAAAAAAAAAAGCCAAAGCCAAATGTCAAAAAAGAGAAAAAATGCAAAAAAAATTAGAAAAAAAAATAAATAATAATTAATAGTTTTTTCTGTTATGTATCTGTTATACAATAATGAAAATTATCAATCTGCATATTATTAATTTTATGTTCATTATTTTATTTTCATTAAAATAAAAATTGTAACTCTTTAAGTAATATTGTCTAATTTATATAAAATATGATTTTTTTTTGTATTACAATTATAAAGCAAGTTAAAACCCATATAGGTTTTTAAAAAAAAAATCAAAAAAAAGTTTTGAACAAACTTTTACTAGTAAAGACTGTTAGCTTCATTATAATACCTACATCTATCTTATAATATTTATATTAAAGCAGCTGTTACTAATGATTAGATTAGAATATCTGTAATAACAGTTGTACTAGCATAACTGGCAGGTTATAGGGCATTTGTATAAGTATAACATTATACAAAGAAATGCAAAATAACAATTAGATAGTGCAAATACTAGATAAGTCTTTGTAGCATATAAATTTGTTGAAATTGTATAATAACAAGTTTATTTGGAAAGATCTAAATAGAGAGGTAGCTTGATCTTTGACAGGCCTACTATAAAAGCTAGTTTGAAAAATAAATATCAAGGTTATAGTATCTAAATAGGCAAAAACTTTTGAGTTGAAAGTCTTGAAAATACCACCAACTAGGTCTTTGTAATAAACTAAAAAAAAAATATTAGGCTAACTTAATATACTTATAAATTAGTTATAGTTCTATATAGACTATTTGAATTAGAGTCTAATAAAAAGATATATATATACTAAAGTACTAGAGTTATACTATAAAGTAGATGCTAAGGTTTAAGTAAACTCTACAAGAGCATAGCAGTTAAATAATATAACTTTGATTACAAATGTTGATTCTGCTATAGTAATATTAGATCAGTTATAAAAATAGATACAGAAGATTCTAAAAAGTTTACTTTAAAGATAAAATAGTTCTAAGATTAAGAAGATGATCTGGACATCTAAGTATGACCCAGTAATGTTAGTATAAGTTGCAAGTTCAGAAGGTTTAAAGTAAAATATTCAAACAGAAGTATTAGATATAACAATTAATAAAGAATCTTCAGACAAACTTCTTAAATAAGTAATATAAAAAAGTTATATATGTAGCCAATTTTATATTTTTTTGTAATAGTTTATTAAATCATATTACCAAAAAAGCTATTAATAAAAAGTTAAAAGACCAAAGAGATTATCTTAACACCAAAAAAATAATAATAATAAAAATAAAGTAAATAATAAAATATTTATTATAAAAATAAAATTTTTTTTTATTTTTTGACAGTTTTGTTAAAGCTCAAATACAAAACTTTACTATTTGAAATATTAACTATTTCTAGTAATCTATATTTTGAAATTGCAAGCCCAGTATCACCCAAGTACAGAAACTGCACTCAAATGCGATTCGTTACATTAGTTTATGCCTAAACTAAAAGATCTTGTCAGCTCTGTCAAAAACTAAACCAGAATAGATTTGTTCTATTTTGTACTAGTTCATCCACCTCTTTATTAAATAGCTGAACATATTCCACTTCTCTCTCTTTATCTTTACCAGTTTTCATCTTACTTGTTATACTTTTTTTGTCATTGCTTCTATTTTTAATTCTCTTTGAATTATATCTTTCATCTTCATCTCTCTTTATTCTACATCACTTCATCTTAAAGGTTATTCTATTCTCATCTTTTCATTTGGCTACTGTTTTGCATCTTCTTTACTATACTTCTTTTCTAAACATTTCTTCAACAATTTTGATATATAGTTTTACAGAATGCTTTGTACTTCTTTGTGATACTTGCTTTGCATATAATTCCTTAAACATACTTTTTATTGCTAAGCCACATATACATAACTCATAGTGCTTAACCTTATTTGCTACAGTTCTTCTAACAAGTATTTTGCTTAACTTGAATTCATAATCTTGCTTTTTTCTACTTTATCCAGCTTTTTTCATACTAACCAGCATGCCAACTCTTCAATATTGTTCTAATACCTACTGTACTCTTCATATCTAAGTAAATATATCGATGTTTCTTGTTCCTTATAGCATTCTTTACATTCATCTAACTTATATATTTCTGGTATTCTCTTCTTTAGTATCTCAAGAACTGGTAAACTATTGCTTATACACTTGACTCTAAATACTATCTTCTTACTTACTTCTAGTAATTTATATTTGATTACTGTTAAACTTCTGTTTTCTTTTCACAATACTTTCTAATCTCTTTGAACTTCAGCATTTGGTTCAAGTTCTCTAACCACCTTTAAGCAATGCCATTTAGTACTATTCATCATGTTTATTAATATTTTTACAAACTTTCTGGTAGGTATTTCTACTACTGAATCTTTCCAATACAGTATATATAAAAATCGGCAGTTTCTTTCAAGTTTCAGATCTGAGCATTCACCTAACAATATGCCTTCTTTCAT